AGCTGGTGCGTATATATTATGAGCACCAAGCTTGTTACAAATGTATTCAACCCGAGGACCTCTAAGAGCTTTAGTGAAAACATCTGCTAGTTGATTAGACGAGTTGACAAAAGCTGTCTTGATTTCTCCTGACTGAATCTTTTCCCGAATGAAGTGACAATCAATCTCTATATGTTTGGTCCTCTCATGAAAAACAGGATTAGAGGATATATGTAGCGCAGCTTGATTATCACAGATGAGTGTCATGAGTTGTTTCTGTTCACAAAGATGAAGCTCCTGAATCAACTGCTTTAACCAGATCAACTCACAGGTAGTATTTGCCATTGCACGATACTCAGCTTCTGCACTAGATCGGGAAACAACAGGTTGTTTCTTGCTTTTCCATGAGATTAAGTTTCCTCCGAAGAAGACACAATAACCAGAAGTAGAGCGTCTGTCCGAGGGTGATCCTGCCCAATCGGCATCTGAGTAACCACAAATTTCTGTATTTCCCTGATCTGAATACAACAAACCTTTTCCTGGTGCTCCTTTGATGTATCGGAGGATCCTCACAGCAACATCCCAATGTGAATCACAAGGGGAATCAAGGAACTGACTGGCCGTACTGACAGCGAAAGAAATATCTGGCCTAGTCACAGTAAGATAATTGAGCTTCCCAATCAGCCTTCGATAACGTCCAGGATCAGATAACGGCTCCCCCTGTCTGGGCAATAACTTAACATTAGGATCCATTGGTGTATCAACTGGTTTACACCCCAACATACCAGTCTCTTCTAGGATATCCAAGGCATACTTCCTTTGACAGATAGAAATGCCCTGTCTAGATTGCGCCACCTCAATTCCCAAGAAGTAACGCAGCTTCCCAAGGTCCTTTGTTTGAAATGCACTGAATAAATGTTGTTTTAACTGTTACGTGTACCTTTTCTTTGAGCAATGGGAAGAGCCTCTGGTGAAGGATCCGGAGGGGAAAAATCAACTGCAGAGGGCAATGAGTCAGCAGGGGTCGAGTCGACTGGAGGTACTGTCTTACGACGCTGATAAGTGAGAAGTGGACGGTCCTTAGGTACTGGAGCAATAGGTGATGGCTAATCTGGAGTAGAAGCACCTGCATCTGGCAAAGACAAGTCAAGAAAAGGAACAGGAAGAACATGATCAACCTGTGACAATGGAGATGGGATAGAATTAAAGGGTTGTTGATAAAAAAAGGTGACATCCGCGGAAACTAAGTAACGCTTGAGGTCAGGAGAGTAACAGCGATAACCCTTTTGAAGACGAGAATAACCAAGAAAAATGCATTTAAAGGCTTTGGATGTTAACTTATCCTTACCAGGAGTGAGATCATGAACAAAACAGGTACAACCAAAAACATGTGGGGATAGAGGAAAGAGAGGAACATCTGGAAACAATAAGTTATGAGGAATATCATTATTAAGCACAGATGAAGGCATGCGGTTGATGAGAAAGCAAGAAGCAAGGACTGCATCAGCCCAGAAGTGAAGAGGAACATGCATGTGAATAAGAAGAGTCCTGGCAATCTCAATGAGATGTCTATTCTTACGTTCAACTACTCCATTTTGTTGTGGAGTGTGAGGACAAGTGGTTTGGTGTAAAGTACCCTGTGTGGCTAAGAAGTGAGAAAAGTCAACAGAAACATACTCCTTAGCATTATCACTACGTAAAATACGAATAGAAGCACCAATTGAGTATGAATTTCAGCAGAAAACTTTTGATAAATAGAAAACAACTCAGAGCGGTTTTTCATTAAATAAATCCAAGTACAACGGGAGAAATCATCAATAAAGGTGACAAAATACCGAAAACCTAAAATAGACACACTACGACTAGGACCCCAAACATCTGAATGAATAATTGAAAAAGGAGCATCAGCTCGTTTATTGACTCGATTAGCAAAGGAGGAGCGTATGTGCTTTCCTTGCTGACATGACTGACAATCTAAAGTTTGAAGACCGGATAAAAGAGGAACCATCTTCTGCAATTTCGCAAGACTAGGATGCCCGAGACGACTGTGGATGAGCTGTGGAGATTCTGTGAGAGAACAAGCAACTGAAGGACTCGGCACATCAAGGTAGAACAGACCCCGTGACTCACGACCCACTCCAATCATCTTCCCCGTACCCAGGTCCTGCACAGAAACAGAATGGTTTGAGAATGTGACAATACAATTAAGAGAATTGATCAATTTACTAACCGATATTAAATTATAAGGGATGTGAGGAATGTAATAGACAGATGTCAAGGTCAATGAGGAGGTTGGACAGATTTGTCCAATCCCATGAACGGGGGCCTTAGTTCCATCAGCAAGAGTAAAAGAGGGTAAATTATTAGAATATGTAAGGGAAGAAAAGAGTTCCTTATTACCACAGAGGTGATCAGTAGCACCTGAGTCAAATATCCAAGGACCAAGTGATGCAGAATGAGAAACACAAGCAACAGGATTACCAGTTTCTGAAGCAGAGGCCTGAGATTGAGGAGAGGACTTCCTGAGAAGGGCCTGGAATGCTGCATATTCTTCAGAGGAGAGAGAGACTGAACCATTTGAAGCAGTATCCGATTGAGCTACATTAGCAGCAAAAGAAGGTCGCATGTGAGGATACTTGGTGTAGCAGCGTTCCTCATAATGACCAAGTTGCTGACAGTAATGACAACGAGGTCGCTGACCACGTCCGACTGGACCTCCTGGGCCACGACCTCCTGGGCTACGTCCTCCTGAGCCTCCTGGGCCCCGGCCTCCTGGGCCTCTACCACGACCACGTCCACCTCCAATATGCCCGCGAAAATCAGTACGGGAAACTAGAGCAGTAGAATCAACAGCAGAAGACGATGCAGGAGCAGATTTCTTATTCAAATTCAGAAGACGCTGATACGTCATGGATAGATCAGGCTCCCCACTAGTCAAGATAGTATCACGAACATTATCATATTCTTCGGGAAGGCCAGAAAGTGTGGCAACCATAAAGAGACGTTCCACCTGTTTCCGATATGCAGTAGCATCAGTAGGGTAAAGCAGCATATCCAAATATGCCTGCATCAAAGAGCGACTCTTGCCAATATATGTCTCCATCTGAATGTCGGATGATTTGCTCAATTCCATAAACTGAGAGATGATGAAATAGAGCTGCTGAACATCATTAGTGTAGAGGTTTTTTGCTTCCTCCCACACTTCAGTGCAAGTTTGAAATGAATAAAAGATATCCAAGACAATCGGATCAATGGATTGCCAGAGGATACTCAGAAGTTGGTTGTCAATCTTTTCCCAATCAGACTTGTCCTCCTTAGGGACATCAGTAGACTTAGTTGTGAGATGGTTCCCATATCCTTGTCCAAAGAACTAAACTCGAACAGAGGTGGCCCAGTTCTTGTAATTAACAGATCCCTTCAATTTTGAAGAGGTAATGGACCCAATATTGGTAGAGATGATATTGGGAGAATTTCTCAAAGGAGGAGATGAAGACTTGACCTCCGAATGAATTGGAGGGTTTGCTGCCATATCAAATCACAAAGATACAAACCGAATAAAGAGAAACGAACCTGATCACCAATCAAGAAGAGGTGCGCACAAAAAGTCAGACCCACAAAGAACCAACCACAGATCCAGAAAGAGGAGAAGATGAGCTTCTCTGTCCAAGACCGGCCGGAAAAAGCCGCCGGAATAGTGCTCACGCGCCGGCAGAAGGTGGCGCGTGAAGCCCACGCGCAGAGAAGACTGGAGGCGCGTGAGAGCGCGTGACAACTCCGATGGTGGCCGGACTTCCACAGAGCAGGTCGCCGGGAGGAGAGGGTTCTGTTCGCGTTCGTTCCAGACTGAAAACTCGCCGGAAAAGTACTCCGGCAGCCTGAACAGTGGCTGACGGTGGCTGACGGTGCTCCGGTGACTGTGGACACGTGCAGAAGATGCCTGGAGAGGACTTACAGCCTTTGATATCTTACCGGAAGGACGCACGACAAAGAAAAGATGACTCCTAAGCAGTGGGCTTAGGTTTTAAAGCGAAGAACAAGATTTCTAAGCGGAAGCAAGGGTTCCCAGAACGAAATTGCTCTGATACCAAGTTAAATGTAAAAGAATACGTTGTGTATTGATCTGTGTCAGGGAGTTACAATATATAGAGACCCTAATGGGCTTAAGTGTAAGGCCCAAACCTAATCCAAACCTAATCCTAATACAGTCAGAATACAGTCAGACTATTTACGGATAAGACAGAATCCAATCATATCTAATCAAATCTAATCATATCATATCTAATATTCTAACAAGCTCCAACTTACACTATTGAGAAGGATGACAGCAATGGTGAGACTTGCATTATAAGATTCCATGCAGGGCCACCACACGAAGATATTGTAAGTCTACTATTCTTGATGTTCTGAAGGTTTTATAATTTTCTACCAAATTACTTATTTCATTGGTCTTCCATGACAGGCTTTCCGCATTGTAAACAAAGAATGGGAATATTCTCATAAGAAAGGTTTAAGTGCACGTTTGAACGTGGAATTCTACATGTGTACTTCAATTTCAAACGCTACCGCAGATAATTTCAGGCACTGGTGAGTTTTTCCTACAAGTTTGAGGAAGGATACAAGGCTGCCATTTTGAAGAGTCAAAAGTGTATGTGAAGGAGCCGGCATTAGAGTTTCTTTAGGATATTTGGAGGAATTATCCAAGTGTTACTTCAAGCAAAATTTGATTGGTGTACTTTTGATGAAACATATGACATGAAATTTAAAAGTTGAAAGAGTTAGCGGTAGTGGAAATTGGTCGAACAATATGTATGAATCACGGTCTCTCCTTGGAAACAATTGAAGGGGCCCAAGGATACAGAAAAAGTGAAAACAAATTGTTTTCTTTTTTCTTGTGTTTCTTTCTTTTTTTGGTTATTTCTTTCTTCTTTTTTGTTTCTATTTTTCCAGTCACAGATAATGAACTTTATGACTCCTAGCAAACACAAGTCCTGAAATGAATACAGATGATCAAGTTTTTCAACTAAATTTTCAATCTTTTTCGCTGTTTCTTTGCCAGTCCAGAAACAGATTAAATTTTATAGGGTTCGTTCACATCAAGAACAAAACAAGGGCCATTATTTGGGTGGGAGGACATCATTGTCTTATCATATATTTTACCAACTTTGCACTCTGGATATTAAATCATTGCATTAACCTTCAACGATCTTTACGGAAGTCCTGCACAACCCAAAATCATCAATATTAACTACAGGCTTACTATAATATAGGAATAAAGAAATATTCTGGGAACATTACTTACCCAAATGGGCTTTGTTTGATAGCAAGCAGTTCAATATCCAACTGCAGTCCCAAAGTAGCAAACAGTAAAAATGTATATTGAAATAACTCCACTTTTGAAATCCAAAAAATAAAAAATAATATAAATAAATAAATCACTTTAATAGGAGCATATCAGAATAAGGACTGCAGCAATAGATGGACAGCCCTACTGATAAATGTAGAGAAACTACAAAATGGTCATTATGAACCATCAAGAATGGTCTTTTTCTTTTTTGGTTAATGATTTCCCTTTTGATTACAAAACCTGATATCTAGTTTAGGAAGGGTTAGCTTAAAGTGTAGGCAAAAGGGCTCGGTTAGGATAATTAATTAGTTCCAAAAAACCTTGGTGCCAGATGAGCACTGCCCTTGTGCTGGTTAATGGGTTTTCATGGAGTAAAGAATAGTGAAGTTACTGTTACACAAGAAATCACTTTTTAAGCATATAAATGTAACAGATGTTTAGCATCCTCTAAAGTACTCTTCAAACATGGAAATGGTGAATACAACATTCCTACTACAACTAGTTTCCAAGTGTTTACTTCTTATTCTTCAAACATGTCTTTGAACTATAGCAATTCATTGATTGCTCGTGAATTTCCGTTAGACAGGAGAAGAGTTCTTAGCAAGATTACGGGTTCATGAAAACTTGTACTTTACTGAGAAAGACCAGCTGATCAACCCAGCTGATTAAATTTTGATTACATTGTTTAATCTTGAGATGGTTCCAGTCAAACCAGAGATGAAGCCAGAAGAACCATTCTGACTTTAAGTAAACAAGAATAGGTTAAAATCAGTATTGCTATAAATTGAAATGTAGGAGATCAAAGATGTTAAATATTTCATATTTCACCAGAACTTTTACCATCTAAGACAAAATTTGGATCTTCACAGATTTTGTTGACCAATGAAAACCTAAAGCAAGCATTTTTCATCCTTAAAATTCAATTCTGCCTTCAGTTGAACTGACTGAACCTCAATCACCTTGGTGTCCAAAGGAGATCTTGCAAACTTAGACATGGAAATAGTAATTAAGCGTAAGGTATCAATGGAGTTCTGGAGGTGGTGATAATGGGACCCAGGAATTTTATAATTCAATCTAGAATAATATTCAATTTATGTAGATGCATAAGTATATTTAACATGGGTCATGTGATATGGACCTAAAATGTTAATTGTAGCATCAATTTACAGGAACAAATCATAACAAAGAGATCAGAGAAATTCACCTCTATTGTTGCATTTGGAGGGATTTCTTGGACTCCTTTTCTTCCATAGGCAAGTTCAGGAGGAACAATTAACAGTCGCTGCAGAAAACTAACTAAATTACTGCTTGATGAAAGCCTATGATCCAACCCAAAATCTAAACAATTTCCACCCCTTTTACACAAAAGTTTTAATGCAGATGCTGATAGTGAGTTAAAATAATTTAGTGAGATGTCAAAACCCTACCCAACTTCCTTGTAAATTTATAATCTTAAAAGGTCTAGCTGTTTAGGAGCTGAGCAATAAAAACCTATTGTCTAAACATATAAATAAAGCAAAACAAAGCATAATCTTTAGTATAAAGTTCAATTCAATGTTGTTGCTCAGTAGTGCTATAAGTAGTGGCCCATTGAAGCTTCCCATCAAATGGATAGAAGGATTCACACACTTAATTATACTGATTATCAAGATTTTCAATGACATTTGTAACAAAACACAGAGACCTGCTCCTAGAATTTTTTCTCACCTGGCCTCCTACTCGCATGCCCTGTACTCCTAAATCCAACCCTTTAAGGACTGTTCCCCTCTCGGATTGGCCTACATCAAATCCATAAGGCTGCAATAATTTAAGCATGTTCTCATCAATCAACTAGAAAATTTTCCAACAAAAATATATCATAGGTTTATGTATTTCGACAGACCAGAATTTTCTGCAAGTGTTATCATTATGTCACAAGGAAAAGACATGGAATCGAAGTTCTTACTGTCAGGAAACCAAGTGGACATACGTTACTTGTAATAAACTTATAGATATTTCAGCATGACTGAGTGCTTCTGCACAAATAATATTTAAAACCAAAATACATTACCCAATGGATGTAGCTCAGTTGTCAACACAAGCTGAGTAGGTGAGAAGAAAAAAAAAATACATTACAGTAGGCCTACAATTGCACATTGCTTAATTGTTGTAAAACATATACCTACTAAAATTGAAAAACCCCCGGTACACGAGGCTCCTTGACTTGTGAGGGTAGGGGTGATAAAACATATATCTACTATTAATACTAAATAATAATGATGACCAGAAAAGGAGGTAGGATGCTTCTTTCTGATACCTTTAAATGTTTGATGTCAAACCATAGTCCCAGAAAGCAGTGTGATTGGATGGTGAATGAAAGGGGGATACGTTACAATTACACAGCTAGTAAGTAGTAATATAATTTGCTTCATTGGTTAACAAAAACTATAATTAGACTAAAACAGTGATGCATTTTGGTCAAGAAGAGAGAGTACCATGAGCTCATCTAATTTCGGAACTTAAGGTGATTCGAGGTTGAGTTTTTATATCAGATCAAAACCAATTAGTCTGCTAGTCAACATACTTCACATAAATGTGGACTTTTGTTGTAAGAGGTGTACAAGAGGAACTGTCTCTTTTATACTAAGAAGAACCTGTTCACTTGGAACAACCAATTAAGGGAAAAATAATTTTTGGAACTGGGAATCTTGACAGAAATATTAGAAATAATGGTGTTCATTTTCTCATGCCACTGCATTTGCATTTGATGTTTCCTAACTGCTAGACTAATTGAACTAATGACCTTAATAAGGTAATATAGAAATAGGTGTGAAATTTGGCTGAGTGACTTGGATCATACCGTTCCTCCTCCAACGCCCATTCCTTGTCTACTAGTCATAAAGGTGATACCCTTCCATTTAGCAACATAGTGAACCTAAAATATGATAATCTGGTTATTTCTAAATTCTGAATAACAGTTAATCACAAATAAATTGCATGTGCAAATGAAAATCAGGGCTTTGGGGGGTGGGGAAGGAGAAGCTGGTAAGATCAGTATAGAAGGATGCACAAGCCAGCCTATGCCTATCAGAATTGGAGAGAAAAACAAATATTAATGTTCTGCTAGAATGAATCAGGTGCAACATAACAAAAGTTAATGGCCAACAAATTTAGGTATCTGTTAAATCTTTTAATGATTCTTCTCATCTCTCAGGTTACATATTGTTGTCTTTTGGTCCAAAATTTCAGTAGATATAAAATTGACAATCCATGTTATGAAATTTTCAGTCTTCTGTATATAATGGTACATGCATAAGTAACACAATACGCATCTATCAGTTTCACTAGTAAAAACATTGACAAGCTTTGAATAATGTTGCAGTTTCCCCTCCAAAAAAATTCTAGAATTGAGTTGGTGCTAAAGACAAAATTAAATGGTAAACCCTCACATTTGGTTAATGACTTGAAACTTGAAAGGTGAGTAACACGAACCTTGGGAAAGCCCTCACCCCAAAAGCTAGTTCATGAGGTAGGAGAACCCAAAGTCGATATAAACCCCACATGAGTCACCCATATAATCAATGTGGGACTCCAAGTCCCATACCTTGGAGTAGGATCATAACAGTGAGAAGGCATTTAGACTGTGTATCATATTGACACATCTAGAAGCTCTTATAGTCTATTCTGTATATAACATGCAAAAGCACTAATGAGTGAAACATATTTAACTGGGTCACAACCGTACTGCAACACGGGATCCTTTCACAGCCTCAGCTCCACTCCCAACCTTCAAATCATAGTACCTGAAGATATCAAAGTTTCATCAGACACTGGCCTCCAACTACTAGTATACACGTCTTAAAAATGAAATCAACAAAAAAATAGTGTTGTTAGGTTTAACACATCAACACCAATAACACCTTTATCACAAACTAGTTAGGTTCGGATTAAGTTTAAAACATGGGGGGGGAAAATTCAAACTTAGAGACTACTCTATGAAATGCTGCAAACCAAAGAAAATTCACAGATTCTGTTTCTCTAGGCTGAAGAAAACTTAAATATGCACTAGATGGGGGAATTCCTCTGTGATCATATCTTATTTGAAGGGGTTTAACAAACTTTAAGTCTACAAGTCATTAATCATCTGTATTTGATACAAAAGCACAAAGTAGAAAGATCCACAATCAAAGGGATTTCAGAAGTGATTAACATATACTTACTTCAGACCACTAGGCAGTGTTTTGTAATCACTTTCAGGAATTTTCGCTCCTCTAAGCTTCAAAAAACAAAAAAAAAGTGCACAATTTCAATTAGTACTCAGATTTCAAAACCATCATTTTTTTTTTGTTTCAAATAACTAAAAACAATAAAAAGAGAATAATGGGGACACATACAGCTCTTCTACTTGTGCTAACAGCTTCAGCCACATCACATGCATAGACTCCAGCAACTACATAAAGATAAAACATTTAAGCAGGAAGCCACATAAAATGGGACATATAAAGAGAATCTTGTAAGACAATTAACTAACCAGTTGTGAGAAGACAACTGAGTAATTCTCTTCTTCCTTCAATCTGTAAAGACACTGTGACTGGTTCTGTAGCAGTTTTGTTCGATGAAGAATATGAGCAGTGGCATGGTATCCTACATGAACTTTTGTTGTTAAGCCTTTTGTGTGTCCCTGTGGAGTTAACAAATTTCCTTAGCTTAGTTTAAATAAAAGCTGGAGTATATAAGGAGAAGAAGAACAAAAAGAGAAGTTACTTGTTAAGAGAATGGAGGGAAGAGGGCAATGAAGAAGCATAGGGTGGTGCTGATGGTGGAACAAAGAGAGTTCCATGATGTTTGATTGCTGGTTGTCACTACAGTGTGAGACCAGAATCTAGTTTATTTAGCTTTTTATTTTTTTATTTTTTTGAAGTTTGGTTCGAGATGAAAGAGAAAGAAAATATAGAGAGGATAACGTGGTTGATTCCATCCACAACTTTGAAGCATTGAGAAATCACAGGACTTGACCCACTTAAGTACTTACAAGATTGGATTATTGATGTAATGACATTGATGTGTCACGAACAAACCATTCTGGGGATGGATTTGATACCAATATGCTTAAAATCTTAACGGGTTCTATAATTCTATATAATAAAAATTTTGTAACATGCTCCGGAGTAATGTGAGGTAAATTAAAATATGATGATAATAACAATACGAAATTTTCTTATTTCAAAGATCGAAACAAATTTTGTTTAAAATAAGGGAGAAATTTATATAAAAGATCTCATATAACAAACGAATGCAACAACGTGAAAATTAGAATTTGAATCAGCTGATATATAACAATCTTTTTCTTTATTTAATTTTTTACGAGAAAAATACTTTTCATGTTGCATAAAAAGTATTTTTTTCATGCTTCAATTTGTGTATAATTTTTTTTTTTTTAATAAATGTGAGGCCCACTACTAGTTGAGGTATAACATGAAAATTATATTTTCAAGTAACTCGAGAAAATCAAAGTCTAGTTTTTTTATATATGAAATGAGTCAATTTTACATACCATTTTTACATTATTTCGTTTTTAAATAATAAAATAAGAAAGACACACATTTTCTCTGCGTTTACTTTTTCAGTAATGTTGTCATTTACACATTTTTTTACATCATTGTTATAGCATTTCGTTTTTTATGATAAAACAAGAAAAACAACGTTCTAACACACTATTTTTATTTTTATTTTTATTTTCTCGACCAAGAAAAGTGAAAATAACGTAAAATCATTGTTTGCAAACAACAACACTCCTATTCAAACAATCAAAGTGTAAAAGTGATATGAATATTTGATGCAAAAATATCATTTATTTCATACATTAATAGTAATATTCATGTGTCCAGAATTTAAAATTTATCATTGTTACCTAAATCTACATCCCTTCTAAGTGTCTAACTTATAATTAAGATTGTTTGTTCTTTCAATTAAACTGAAACTAGAAAGGAACCCTTCCAGCATACCAAATCTAACAACAAAGCTGGACTACTTTATACATATTTGGTCATACTGTAAAAGTTTACTTTCAGGTCTCACAATAAGGTATATGTTTAATTTCTGCCTTAGAATTAATTCTAGACTAGAATATATTTCATTCCTTCTGAAATTTAGAACAGATTGATGCATAATTAAAGTACAAACTATAATGTGAATCAAGTTTAAAATGAAATGGCATCATTATTTCTTTTGCATCAAATGCAGTGTCACAGCATGTATACCAACACTGAAGTTTCTTTATTGGTTAGCTAGTATCAACTATCAATAACTACATGGCGATCCATGAGTTGGTCTAATTATGTTTTGACTCAAGCACTAGAGCAAAACCTTGCAGTTTCAGGAACTTCAGGTTCCATTGATCCGTAGGAAACAGAATGCATATCAAGACACCTGATTTCATCACATTTTTTCTCCTCTGATTTCACTCTTACCTTTTCACTTCCTTCCACCCATCTCTTCAGCCTTTTAAGTAAATTTTTCCTTTTGGAACCAGCACCATCTCTATCAGCAGAACCAAAGCAAGGCACATTCTGATGCCCCATAAAGGAATAATGCAATTCATGCTCAGAATCATAATGCATAACTCTTCTACTTCCTTCAAATTCAAGTTCTATATGGTCACTATACTGATCCTGTTGTTGTTCTTGGTGACTCATTAACTCATGCCTTAAACAAGCATTGGTCCTCCTCAAGTGAATCAGTTCTTCAACTTCAGCTGCACGTTCCTTCTTGACATGTTCCAATTCATTGAGAAGCTTGTCGTAATCTTCCTTACCTACACCTCCTGATTCAACCTGCAAATAATATTTCAGTGGTTTTCTATGTATATGTTCCTTACATACCTTAGACTCATATGCTTTTTCTGCTGTGTCAAGCTTCTTCAAAAGTTCATTCTTCTCATCCTGCAATTGATCCAAAACCCTTTGTAGCTCTCTGATTTCATCCTCTAACTTATTAATAACACTAATTCTTGTTTGCAAGGCATCATGGTTTCTCAAGATCTCTTCTTGTGCTTTGGTCTTCAAAGCCTGCTCCTTTATCAACCCTGATTGGGCCTTTGATTTCCTAAGTAGCTTCTGAACCTTCTTCTGAAGGACCCTATTCTCTGATTTCCAATACTCAAGTTGTTCAATAATCCCAAGGTATTGGACTACAAAATTCTCAAACATCACAGTCTCTCTCTCTATGGATGAAACCTCTCTATCCAAGAATTCAACGCGAGCAGTCTCTAATGACATGATGTTTTTCATTTCCATAAGCAAAGATTCTTGCTCTCTCATTTCACAGTACTGTTCAAACTTCAAACTCAAGGCCAATTCTCTCATTTGCATACCTTCAATTTGGCTTCTTAGGCCACTAATCTCTTGTTCCAAACATGGGTGGTTGTCATGGATTACCAAGCTCCCAGAAAGAACACTGCTATCCATGGCACTATCATGTTCTTCAACTTCAATAGAAGAAAGGTTGTGAAAGCTTTCTTCATGTTTAGTTCCCTGATGACAATTGGTTTCAGAAGAATCAACCTCATTTTTTGATAAAGAAGAAGCTTTAGATAAGCTTTTCTTTGCCATGATCCATGCATAGATCAAACCAGCCAAAGTTGCAGCCAAGGGAACACCAGCTTTGAGGATAACTACCTTCAGTGTTGTGTTTTCCATCCAGAAGAACAAGAGAAGTTTTCAGTTATTTGGTTAGATGGTTTTTCTGAAGAAAACCCAATTGAAAACTAAACCAGGAAAATCTGAATTTGATCCTTTTTTGTGAACTTGGTTTGGCTTCGTTGAGAGGAACAGTGATATGTAGCTTTTTGACTACTCAAAGAGACCTTCTACGCAAACATCATAGCCCCTACTCGTGCTCTAAGGAATCTGATTCCTTTCTGTATTAATCAATTGCACTTCAAAATTGATATTTGCCATGTCGGGCTTCTTTTCTTCCATGCCATATTTATCAACATTATATTCTCCACACGTTCAAAAATATGCAACATAAAGCACCTTTTGGAAATTACTATTGGGAAAGAGCACTCTACAATATTCATGGTGCTAAAATTTCCATCACCTTAACAAAAAATAAAATAAAAATGTTAGTTTAAATACATCTATTATGAAAATTGTAACCGTGCTAAAAAGATTTGGCAACATATTTACACACACTGGATATAGTTTCTCATTTTACTTCGAAAAAATTTATTTCATGCAACACATAATAAAAAAAATGGATTGAATTCATAAAGAAAAGAAAAAATAATAATAAGTGGATCTGCTTATTTTTTTGTGACAAGAGAAACTATATTCTCTTACACATAACATCGTAAAGTTTAACTTAAAAGTTCGGGTATATTTAGAATGAGGAATGGTTTTCCTAATCTAAGGTCAAGGCAAGCTTCGACGCATAAACTATAAACTAGTATAATCAATTTATCCAATGTTGAACAAGACGTAAAGGCATAATTTATTTATTTTTCAAACCGATTTTAATTCGATTCGAGCCCTCCCAAAACTATTTTTTCAGGATTTGAAACCTCTTTTTTTAACACCGAAAGGAATTTGTCTGTTAAGCTGGCTATTCAGCGTTACGTTACAACTCCAAAAACTATCCCTACAAGGGGAAGTGCGCACCCAACAAAGTTCTCACAAAACATTAATACATGAACATTTCCAAGCCTAGTTAGTCATCCAAAAAAACGAAATAGAAAATGGGACAGAATATATTTACCACCAAAAAAATTTATCACATTTACAACCAACTTAATCATAATTGATTTTCGTCAATATAACGGTTATAATTTATTGAATTTATTGAGAATTAATAATTAATTAATAAATACGACTCAATAATTTTCAATAAATTATAATTGTTAGATTGATGAAAATCAACAGTAATTAAGTTGGTTGTAAAAGTAATAAGCTTTTTCGGTGGTAAGTATATCATTCCCCATAAAAAATAGCCATTGGGATTAATTGTCTAGCTAGATCTTTGGTATGATCAATTACTGATTAGCTTGAAATATGTTACGGACCAATTAATATAAGAAAACAAATTGGGGATGCAATTATAGACTTATAGTGACTGGTTGACTAGATATAGCTTCCCAAGATCAATTATTAATTAATTTGAGAAGGTTATATTTACAATTTTTTTTGTTTACAAACTACATTAAGTATAACCGGTCATATTTTAATCAATAGTGTATGACAATTAGGGGTGTAAATGGGTCAGGCTGGCCCAGCCCAGCCTATAGCCCGGCCTACATTAAGCCTCGCTTGGCCCAGCCTTTCAGAAAAGTAGAGTAGGCTTAGGCTTTTAAGAAAGTTTTTTTAACAAATAGGTTGTATGCCAATTTTGTCAAGCCTGGCCTAAAGCCTTGTAGGCTGGCCTATTTAATTTATTAAAAATAAAATAATATTTATTTTATGTGGCATGGCAAAGTACCAATACCAACCTTAATTTTTAGATGAATGACATTCTCTTATAGACTTTATTTCAGCACCCAATAATTGTATTTTTCTTATTTTTCCCATTTCTTTGACTCTATTCCTCTATGATATACATTCTAAAATTGAGGTATTATGTTGACTCTTTCTTGTTTGTTATTTTTTTTTATGAGAAGTACTAGTGCGTTCATGGATAAAACTTTCTTTACTCTATACAATTATTTTCTTTGCTTAGTATCTACAGTGGTAGGCTTACAAGGCCTGTAGGCCATGTCGGGCTTTCTTATTTTAAAAAATAGGCCGGACTTGGCCTACAAATAAAGCCTTTGATAGACCAGTAGGCCAGATAGACTGAATTTTTTTTTACGTAGGCTTGAGCCAGGAAGGCCAAAACCCAGCCCAGCCCATTTACACCCCTAATAACAATCAATAGTGTATGACAGATTATATTTAGTGTAATTTGTAAAAAAAAAAATTGTAAACGAATTCTTCATTGAATAATTTAGGATGAAGTTAGACAGGACATCAACATAAGAAACAAATTTTGAAGATTAACTAAATTGTAATTATTTATTTAGATTACTAATTGTGCCTAGCGTTTCAAGGTCAACTTATAACAAACAAGCTTGTAACTTAATTGGTATCAATCTAGGTCATAAATAAGACTTGTTACTTGTGACTTGTGAGTGATGTTAATGCCCACCGCCCCTCAAAAAAATAAAAAAAATCTAAGATAATCCAAAGTTAGTTTTTTATTTTTTATTTTTTATTTGAAAAAAAGGAAAAATACGTATGGGTTTTGCAAACCAAGATTAAGCCCGACACTAGAGCCCAGTATTATCTTAAGATCCAAACTCTTTTTTACTATATACAAACCCATATCCTTCATGAAATATCTTAGAAATCAATATTCAAGTGGTGGAAATAAAATCATTATGAGCTCCCCAAGGGGATCTGCCATACAAGTCTCAACTCAACTTAAGAAATTATCAAATCTATACCTTTTTCTTTCTTTTGTGATCCAGTGATCACAAAAATTATTAGGGTATTGTGGGATTTATCTTTGTTACTTGTATGTTAGTTCCATCCACATTCTCCAAGGTTTTATAGTCACAGGATAAGGTAAAGCTAATGTTGGATCTCACACTTGATGGAAGAATATTAGAAATAATTAAATGTGAGTAGTGATAAAATTCCACATCAATTAGAAATATTTCAAGTAAATACTGTATAAGTGCAAAAAAGATCCATACAACTTGAGCTTTAAGATTTTGGGTTGAGATGTATTGATCCACTTATTGTAATTTATCATTTGACTCATTAGTAAAAGAATCTTTACAATGGATTTTGAACTTCCTCGTACCATTCTTAACAAAAGCAAGCCCTTGCTTTAGGTCCAAACTTATTTTAGACCCCATAATTTTTAATTTTTTAATTATATATATTTAAAAAATTGAAAATTATTTAAATAATAAGATGTTATCGAAAAACAGAAATATTTTCTCTTTCTTTCATCTTATTCAATTTTATATATTATCTCTTTTATTTGCCAAATTATTAATGTTAGCAATACTTTATAATAACATTATATATAAATTATTTATCAATTGAGAATATTTAACTTGGAACCTATATCATATAACTATTATTGTCAGCAAAAATTCATTAATTGAACTCTCCTATTAAATTTTATTAGCCTTATTTGAAGAGAATCACGTACGTATGCAGGGAAAAAGAGACAGAGAGAATAAGTGTTTGAATATTACTGTTTTAAGTTTAAATGCAACTCTGTTTGGATGAGCTTTTTTCAGTTAAAAGTTGTTTTTTTTTTCCAAAAAAAAACACTTTTATTGTAAAGTGCATTTGGATTACTGCTTTTAAAAAAAGCAGAAGTCATAAAAAAAGCCAAAAATTTACTTTTTTCAAAAGTTAAAAATTTTAGCTTCTCAAAAAAGCAAAAGTCAAAAGCCAATTTATTTTTTCAAAAAAAATTTTTTTAAAAAAAATCTAAATAGTTATAACTTTTATAAAAAAACACTTTTAAAATAAGCAGAGCATAAAAGTAACTTTTTTCAAAAGGTAATCCAAACGAAAAGTGCAATTAGTTTTGCTTTAAGAGAGCTAGCTTCATCATGATGTGAATATTTTTGCTTGAATAGAATTGTTTCTTGTAGAGGATACCTGTGATTTATAAAGAAAAATACAATTAATTACCAGTATGCAAATTCTAATCTTAATAATATATCATTCTGGTTGGTCTAGTTAACAGGCCCAATAAGTTGGGCCCACTGTTAATAGTTTATATCTGGAACATTCTAGAAGACATCCCATAGTGAGCTATAGAGTCTCGCCATATGGATCCCTGTCCCCCCTACACTGACAATGGGTGCAAAATCTCTTGTCTCAGAGATAAGGTCAAGCTACAGTGGCAAAGCTATGTCCCCTTCATTCCCATATTCTCTCTCTGACGCCTAGGGAGTCTAACCCTACCTATAAATACCCTATTTCTCCCTTCGAAGGGGTATCAATTTTATCACATTTGTATAAGTTGTTACTCTGTGGAAATAGAGAGCCACTATAGCCAAACACCCCCCTGTGTTGCAGTGAACTTGGGAAACTCTAACAAAGCCTTAGTCTCTACCTGCTACTAAAAGTATCCTAGATTAATGTACTTTACCCATCATGGGATACATCAGTGGCTTTATCAAACACAAAAGTTCATTAGTTCTGTTTGTGAGAAATGATAAACTCCAATTCTCATTTCTCTACTGGGAACTCCATAAACATAAAAAAAACCCTTTTTTTCTTAATCTTACAACTCAGAAAAGTGGTTCGAACTAGAAGAACCAACCAAGCGAGGGCAGCCACCCTCGATGGCCATGTCCAGACTCTTTATGAGGACTTTGTACCCTCATTACCATCTGTTCAGATTCTACCTCACGCAGGCCAAATCCTTCCTCTAACTCCCCAGGTCATCTTAGTCGCAGGGGGACCAATCATGGTTGTCCCTACCCTGTTCTGGACCAGTGTATTATCATACATTTGATATTAAGCATAGTTACAATAACAACATTTGAATTAAAATACGGTAGAACTTTTTTTTTTAAACGACATTTCCATTTAAAACAACTATATTTCAAAACATTTTCCATAATATGATCATAACCAAAAACAATTGCGTAATATAAATTTTTACAGCTTAAATATCACATAATACATATACAAAGATTGCTAAGTGGTTCCCATAAACCAACAAAGCTTAATTACACTCTTA